CTGGGGGGTGGGGATATCCATAGGGAACTCTATGGGCATGGAGGCCTCCATAGAGATGGGAATGGGGGCAACCTTGGGGGTGGGGACACCCATGGGGATGGGGACAGGAACAACCAAGGGGACTGGGACCTTGATGGGAATGGGGGCAGACTTGGGGATGGGGGGACCTCGTTGGGGATGGGGACCTCGATGGGGACAGGGACACCCATGGGGATGGGGACACTCATGGAGACGAAGAGAGGGACATTCACGGGAATGAGGACAAGTGCATCCACGGGGACCAGGGGCACCGCCCACCCTGCCTCAGTTTCCCCCCCCCCAGCCCCGTTTCTCTCTCTCTCTCGGGGGCAGTGGGACCTGCTGCAGAACATGCTGAACGACTCCTCCATCTACATCTACTCGGTGTGCAACGTGCTGGAGGGCGAGCAGGAGAACTGGCTGCGGACCAACTGGATCTACCGGGGGGTGGCCCAACGCATCTTCATCGAGCTCCAATTCACGGTCCGTGACTGCAACAGCTTCCCCACCGCCGGCAGTGGCTCCTGCAAGGAGACCTTCAACCTCTACTACGCCGAATCCGACGTGGATTACGGCACCAACTTCCAAAAGAGACAATTCAAGAAGATCGACACCATTGCCCCAGATGAAATCACTGTCCAGGACGATTTTGTTCTCCGGAACGTTAAACTCAACGTTGAGGTGCGATCAGTGGGACCTCTCCGGCGGAAAGGTTTCTACTTGGCTTTCCAGGATTTGGGAGCTTGCGTGGCGTTGCTTTCCGTTCGGATCTATTACAAGAGGTGCCCGGCTGTGTTACGGGGCATGGCTCACTTCCCCGAAACGGTGGCTGGTGTCGACTCTCAGACTTTGGCCGAGGTGCAGGGAACGTGCGTGGAGGAGGCGGTGGCCGACCAAGCCCCGGTGCTGCATTGCAACGCTGACGGCGAGTGGTTGGTGCCCATCGGGGAGTGCCTGTGCCGAGCCGGCTACGAGAAAGTGGGAGAGAGATGCCAAGGTAGGGCTTGGAGGGGGGTAAATAGGGATGGGGGGGGAGGCCATGGTTGGGGGGATTTTGGGGGGCTGAGGATGCCCCAGCTCAGCACATGTGCCAAGGGATGGGGGGTGGGGTGGTGGAGAAATGAGCTGTTAGCCCCAAAATTCCCCATCCTGGATCCTCAACATCGAGAGTCACTGGTGCAGCGAGTGCGGCAGGGCTCAGAGGGCTGGGCTGTGGGGGGGGGGGGGGGAAAAAAAAAAGAAGGAATAAAA